TTCTCATTTGGTGATTCTGAAGTATATTTCAAGATTTTCGATTGAGAAAATACTTATGAGTTAGTCTTTTAGACGAGATAGTAAGTGCACAGTTGATTTTAATTGTCTCAATTTCTATTTGTAACCTACTGTTTCTCCTACTTGAGTATCGATCTGAGAGAAAGAACCCACGACATGAAATTTTGGGTTACTTGTACGGGAACTTTGGGTATATAAATTTGTTTTACTAACTTAGAGTTTAAGATAGTTTCTTATGCATTTTTGGTTCCGAGAAAGATTTATCGGGAGAGGGAGTTTTGAATATCTATTTGGATGCAATAGTAAAACTATTGATCATCTTCGCTTTTTTTAAGAGTTATCTATTAATGGTCTTAACCTTTGAACATAATTTACCAACCACGAAAATCTCCTTCTTTGTGTTTTCTTTTCGATCTATTTTTCTTTGTGCATTATTATGTTCATTAGTGTCTTCTCCTTGTTTTCATATTGTAATCGACTTGTCTGGTTGGTGTTATGATCCGTCTGGTTGGGGGCTTTCACGAGAACAATGTACTCCCAAGGGAACAAGCTGTACACGCTCATATGCAGAATTGAACTTTATTGAACTAATGAGATAAAGTATGACTCCTGTTGGCTTAGTAGTTTGTACATAGGGCTGTCATGTCTTTGAGAGGGCCTAAGGAAACATCATATAAACTTAATTTTTTTTTGAAAAGAATATATTTGGGGGGGGGGGGGTTAGAGGGGAACTAGGTTGGGGTCCATATGATCTCTGAATCGATTCGGTCTTTATCAATTCGCATCCAAATCGGCATTTCAAATAAGAAATTGTTGGGTTTTTAAATACTGGTTGTAAGGATCTTAAGGCCCACAGTAGGAGATGAAGAATGGTATTAAGAATCTACAAATTTATTTGGATGTGGTATTTCCATTCTAAGAAAGGGTGAGGACCTTAAACTTTCTTTTAACCCATCCTAAGCCCGAGTAAAGGAGATGAGTCATGTTAAGTAGGCAGCCACCATAATACTTTGTCAAAACTTTTTATGAAGCAAGAATATAAGTTATGCTTATGCTAGGGCATTAACCTCATCGAGGATATGACCCTTAATAGAGCAGAATGATGGAACAAGATTTATGTAGCTAACCCCAATTAGTTGGAAACATAGTTAAACAGTTTCCATTCAAAACGTGATTTTTTCAAAAATCTCTGATTTTTTTTAAATCCGTTAAGAACTTTGAGTTTTTCAAAATATATTTAAAAATTCATGGTTTTTATGGAACCGATATAAATCCTTATTCTTTCTTTCTCAAAAAAACTTCTCAAAAATTTCTTCCCTATAACTTTATTTTTTCATTAGCTTAATAGTATTGAATTTTGGTTTAAAGATAAACATATTAATAGTGTTGGTAAATTCAGAATCTTGATTTAACAAAAAATTCCATGAAAAATTTACTAATAAGCTCCCTTAAAAATAACTGTACAAAAAAATACAAGCAATATATTCCCCAAAAAAATAACATATCAAAATAGTCATAAATCCCAAAATAATAAGTGGAGTTAGAAGAAGAATAACCCAATGAAAAGACTTTTTTTTTCTTCTTTAAACCTATAGCTTCCTTCTAAAGAGTAAGAGAGAGATTCAATGATATTAAAGATTTAGGTAGGAAGGAATTTGGTGTGAAATTTCATTAGAGTATAAAACATAGCAGTTTTGATGGACTACTATTTTATATATTTGGGTCTTTGTGTTATGTTTTAGTTAAGTGCAATTGTATATTGAGATTTTTGCTTTCTTTTAAACCCATACTTTAGTTTACGGTTCTTGTTATTTACTAATGTAGTTCTTGCGTTTAGGATTGTTTTTGCTTCATTTTTTATGGACCTAATAAATCTATGATATATTTTGTGTTGTGATGACAAATTAAGTATTGTTGTTGGATTTATTAAAAGTTTGGACGAAAAACTGTCAAGTAGTATTCTAACGACACTAGGTATTGCCATAAAATTATTGTTCAATGGCCTTAATATATTTATACAATAACTATAAGTCATACTCCTATATTGTGTCATCTTTATACATTTGATTTTGTTACTCTATTTTTTTTAGCCAAACCAGAAATATTCATATCCTATAACTTACCTGATGTTTTGGTGATCTGTATTCTTCTAATTATTTGAAATAAAATCAATTTATTGCCAATATACTATTATTCTCCAACTTGCTAACTATGATTGGGAAAAAAGGTCTGACAATGATGATGATGATTTCTATCATTAAGAAGAAAAAATATATAGGAGGATTTCACCAATTTTTTATGCAAAAGAAACTAAAACATATACAAGATTCATCAAATCTTTTATGCAAGCTATGCAAATATGGATAACAAAGATATTGAGGATGCATGCAAAAAACAGTACACCTTCCTCTAGGGGTGGCAACGGGTCGGGTATAAGTCGGGTTCGGCTGGACCCATGCCTGAACCCATCATGTCTTGGATTTGGTGGGATCCATTGCATCACATGGCTATGAGGTTTTTTTTTTTGGTTTTTTTTTTGCCATCATATACCTTATGATTATGAACTTCTTTTTTTGTCAATATTATTACAATATGAACACCAACCGCACTCTTAAAGACATATGATTACCACCATATACCCTATGATTACAGGTATAGATTAGGTCGGCTAGATGCAAGCCCAAATCTTGATCCAAATAGTATTATGGTCCAAAAGTTTAACTTATACCCAAATCCTGATCCAAATAGTATTATGGTCCAAAACTTTAACTTATATCTAGATCCGAGGTCGGATCGATTGCCACCCCTACCTTCCTCATAGAGCAAGTCCCTTCTCCTAACGACTTTGCCCGACCACAGACGGAATATTCGCATCTTTTAATTCGTTGTTCTCTTTCATATTCCGATCCGCTTCACACGTGCTAAACGAAATAGTCGGTGGAGGCGAGAGTAGTTAAAGGCGTGCGCACTGGTGGCTCTCAAACAATGGAGCTTGGTGCCAAAAATTAAAACGCAACTTGAAAGGTGGCGATGTATTTGAGAGGAAGCCGAGTCTCCTTCTAAATAAATGGTAACCTCAGTTTTTTTTTATAAGACCAAAACATCCTTTTTGAAATTTCTAACCAGACTTTCATGTTTAATTTAGGGGTGGCAACCGGTCGGATCCAGTTGGACTTGGACCCAGTTCTATACCCGAATAATATTTGGGTCTTAGTCCGTCGCGTCCAAAAATTGGATCCATATTTGTACCTGTCAGGTCTCGGATCTAGTCAAGTTTCTTTTTTTTCTTTTTTTTTCTCTTTTTTTACTATCATATACTCATATTATTGAAAACAAAGTCTCAATCACCCACCATTAGATTTCAAAGTGTTTGATTTGTCATTTAATAGCTAAAGATGACTACGTATGATCATTAATCCATCCAAACAAATAGGATTTAAAGTAAAGTATTTTATCTCCAATAGTTTATGGGTATGAGTCAAGTCCGGCTCGACCTGGACCGGAGCCCAACCCATCGGGTCTAAAACTTGGACCCATGCCTGAACTTGAGGTTGGGTCTTCTCATCGGGTCCCCCCTCTGGTCGGGTCCCCCCTCTGGTCGGGTCCATTGCCACCCCTACTGTTTATGCACGAATGATATTGAACAATTGAAAATGGACTACGATGGGAAAATCCTACATTTATAGCAAATCCCCAATGAGTTAAAATGAAACTTATCACAGAAATAATAATGATATTAACTTATAAGCACCAAGAGGAGAAAAAAGCTCTTAATTCTATGTGACCAATGAAAATTGCCGAACCGACTTAGGACTTCCCGGGCCAGCTGAGGACCTTGACAAACTCAAGGTAAAACCTTAGGACTCACTTGAACCCCTACTCTAAACCATCATAGTCATCATAGCCTTTTCCCAATTACTTGAGATTGACTAACCCCCATTCTAAACCCTAGTATTAGTATTACAAATTACCTGTCCAAATCAAGTGACTCGGTCTCACCACTCTGGCGAACTTGAATCCGAAGTTTTAAACATTTAATGTGGCTATCTCACAATGATTGATACCACAAAATTTCCGAAAGTTTACCAACAATGTATAAGATAGTGACTATCTCAAATGATCGACACCATAAATCTTCCCAAGTTCACAAACATAATGTGGATATTTATTTGTTTGGGTACATGAAACTTTCCATGGAAAATGCTTCGGTAGAGGAGACTTTTCATGTAATTTTAAGAAATTGATATTGATAAACAAGGAAAAATTCGAAATGAATACATTCGAAAGAACTTAAGTATGACACCAATAGATGATAAGATGAAAAAAAATAGACTTAATAGGCTAGCCAAATAAACTCATATCGGGTACAACACCTGTTAGGAGGAGCAAATTAGTTCAAGTGGAAAGCTAAAAAAAGACAAATGATATTTGTTCAAAAGGACATGATTGAAAGTCATGAGAAAATATATAAGGATATATGACTTCACTTAGTGTATGACATTTTTTTTTTTTTTTTTTCGACAATAAACTTAAGGTATGACCCTTGATGGAGCAGAATGACAAATTAAGATTCATATAACAGATATGACTTCACTGAGGGTACGATCCTTGATAGAGCGGAATGACAAATTATGATTCATGTAACCAACATCAAATAGTTGGAAAAAAACTCTATTGTAATGATGATTTTGATCAACAATGTGAAAATTGGATAGCATGGGTCTATTTGTATAAGTGTTTTTGCATTTTTTTACCTATGTTTTCTCTCCTCACACTCAAAACATGTCTTGAATATTAAAAACAAAATTTCTATTACGAATTTTCACCAAACATGCAAAAGTTTTATTGGGAATTTTTACACGTGTTTTAAATGGGACTAGAAAACAATCCTCTTCACAAAGGGCGTTTTGGTAAAAGATGAGGCGTAAATGTTTTCATGGAGTCAAGATTGGCTCTTGGCCCTTTGTTAGTTGGAACTTGGAAAGAGCCATTGGTCAACCAAACACCCGCTTACACCTACCACCAGGCCATTGTTGTCCGACGTGGCACCTCCAACCCTTTTCGGCTGCAACTTTCTCTCTCCTCTGTCCTTCCCTCTCTCTCTGTGGGTGCGAGTATTCTCTCTCTTCTCGTTTGTTACCAATGGTGAGCCCCTCCTTGTTTCTCACTCCTCCAGACGATTTATTCGATGGGCCTCGCCATTGCCATTAAGTTTCTCTCTCCTCGCATCTCTTTATCTCTCCTCGGTTTCTTCGGAGCTTCGCTTCTCTATAAAAACCAATACCAAACCTTGGCATTTCAGCACCTTTTGCTTGGAGTTTGAAGCCAATAATCTCCCATCATCACCGTGGTTTTCTGGTTTTCAGCTCAGGTAAGGAAATAAAGGAAAAAAAAGCGCTGTTTTTTTTTTTTCTTATGCAGCAATGGTTTATTGGATCTGGGGTCCGGGTTTTTTCAACTTTCTAGAAACGAGAAGCTGGTTTTTGTTCTTTTTGAAAACCCATGTGATAGAAGTCCAAATTTTGCTCTGTGGGTTTTGATTTAATGGGGTTCTGATGTTTCTGGTGAATTTTTTTTGGTCTCCCTCTGGCAGGTCGGGGAAATTTTGAAACTGTCCCTTTTTGTGTGGTCTCTTTCTCCAGAGAACCCATTAGCAGGATGGCTGTGGCTACATTTCGCCCCAATGTTGGTGCCCTTCGGTTCTCTGAGGGTTCAAGTTCCTCTCATGGTGGTGCTGGTTTTTCAGCTTTTGCCCCGAATAAAATCAGCTTCAAAGTTGGTTTTATGAGAAAAGAAGATGGTTACTCCGGCCAGCGAAAATCAATTATGGTCACCATGAGTTCACAGACGCCAGTGATCGATCCTGTCTCTCATTCATCGCAGAATTCTAGTGATTCTAAGAAGAAATCAAGTAAGTATTATTCAGTAAATTGATCATATATGAGTTTTATACATAAAAGAAAAGAAATTAGCACTCCCTCTTGAGCTAGGGCTGTATTTATTTAGGGGGATCTTACATCTTTTGTCTTTTAAGCCAGTTTGTTGGGTCACATTGTAAAATAAAAAATTTAGTTGCATGTCTTACATGTTTTAGTTTCATTTTAAGCTGTTTGTACCCGAATATGTTTAAAGATTAGGAAAAATTAAGATTATGACAAATTGGGAGTTTTGTGTGCTGTTGTGTTTAACACTTTCCTCTGATATTGTGGTCTCTATGTTTGTTGAGATTTTCTTGACAATGAGACTAATAGGGTCCAACCCAATCAGAATTTGAGTGTCCTGCTTTTCATACAAGCAATCACAAGATGGAATTTAACTCACCCATTACTTTGTTGTGCTGTCATTGATACAGATGAAACTGCTCTTATTTTAATTCGACATGGGGAGTCCCTATGGAATGAGAAGAACCTGTTTACTGGTTGTGTTGATGTTCCATTGACTAAGAAGGGCGTGGAAGAGGCCATTGAAGCTGGGAAAAGGATTAGCAATATCCCAGTTGACATGATTTATACCTCTGCCTTAATTCGTGCACAGATGACTGCAATGCTTGCCATGACCCAGCATCGCCGCAAGAAGGTCTCTTTCTTAATTCCTTTTTTTTTTTCTCTTAATGCCGATAAAACACATATGAATGCAAAGAAACATACAAGATGATTAATTAGCTGGCCAAGTAGGAGCCAAATATGATTCGGTTCTCTATGTTTTGTGTAAGTTCTAAATTTGCTGCTATCAAGCTCTTTTATTGTGCATAAACTTTTCTCACTGGGCAAATAAAGTCTAGCGTTTCATTCATTAGGAGCCTTAGAACTAAAATTCTCACAAAACGCAATTGCTTAATCTACCAAACTAAGCAAGAATGCATCATTTTGTTGAACAATATGTCTGTTTCAGTTTCTTTTATGTTCATGTTTAAATGGTAGATTTGAATGATGTAATCATACTATGCAGGTGCCCATCATCATACACAATGAGAGTGAGCAAGCCAAGACTTGGAGTCAGATTTTTAGTGAGGACACCAAGAAGCAATCTATTCCTGTGATAGCAGCCTGGCAATTGAACGAACGAATGTAACTATTGTATTTGGCTTTGGCTTTGGCTTTGGCTTTGCGCTTTAAAATATGTTTGCTTTGGTTTTCTTGCTTCACCTTATTCTCCACTTGAGTACAATCAGTTTCTCTGTTTCTCCAGGTATGGGGAATTACAAGGTCTTAACAAACAAGAAACAGCTGAAAGATTTGGAAAAGAACAAGTCCATGAATGGAGACGAAGCTATGATGTTCCTCCTCCAAATGGGGAGAGTCTAGAAATGTGTGCTGAAAGAGCTGTTGCATATTTCAAAGAAAATGTAAGCATGTGCATGTTCTTCTTTTCTCTGTGATTGCCATAAATTTAGCTTTTATAATTGCTCGAGTTAGAATTTGTCTTGTCTTGAGATTTAATCCCTTATAAGAGTTTGCTTTCATAGAAGGGGTAAAATTCACTCAATTTGTTTTCCTAGAAGAGGTGCAAAGAATTTGTGCCCAGAAGAGGTAAGATTCACTGAACTTTTCAGGAGCCTACCTCCTGGGAATTTTGCCCATTGTCCTTCTTTAATATAATAAATAGTCGAGATATTTAAGACTCAAAATAGTCGAGATATTTAAGACACATAAAAAATTGTTACTGTCATTTATTGCATTGGGAATCTATCTCATTGGAGTTTTATTGTGGTCATTCTGTTAAATGTTTTTTTATAAATTTAATATGTGTTAAATCTTTTAACCTAACCTTGCTGAGATCTAAACTCTGACCTTTGTTTTGCGGCTCGCACACACACCCCATGAAAAGTGTAGTGTACTATTCTGAAACCAGATAATCTGGCAGGAAAAAAATGACTTTTTCCTTCTATTTGCAGGATTTTCACATGCGGGGCATCTTTTGTAGGGGGCTTTAACAAAAATCTACTACAAAATAAATTTACATGTAGTTGCATATGGATGCATTATGCATGTAAGGCGTCCCTTGCCTCAGCAGTTGAATGTCAATCCTTTTTTTTATGTTGGGTTAATCATTGCCTCTAGCAAATGATGAGAAGTGACTGAAGGATAAAGGACAAAAGCATCTCTTGGTGAAGCACTGTGCATAGCAAGTGGTTGTGTGTATATTGGGAAGGAAATAAGTATAGATAGCATGTGAATGTATGTATAGTGGGAATTAGGTATCATTTGTAAGGGTAAAAATTACAAGCTAGAGTAAGTAAGAGACAATAAGCAAAATCAATCTACAATTGGTGCATTCTATGGCAAGAAAATGGTGGCAAACCTTGTCCTTTGCCAAGGAATTGGCTACTTCCTGGTGTTGTTGTCAATGCTGCAAAGAGGAGGAGTTTGCTCATCTGCCTCAGCTTGACCCTCACTGTTTGCCATTTGACTTGCAATCAATGGTGAGTTCATATTATGACACTAGGGTAGTCTTCTTCCACCACAAGCGCCAGACAGCACGGAGGGCATCTATATCCTCCACTAATGTATTACCAAATGCCTAAGTTTCTTGAGAAGGCCTTGGGTTTTAAAAACAACTAAATCACTATCATAAAAATTGTTCCCAGCTACTATTGGATGAGGTTTGCCAGTTGAGCTTCCTTCGAAGATTAGCTAGATGATTCTCTAGTATCTGTTTCTACTAGACCTAGAAGCATCTATGAAGTTCCTCTGCACTGTAAGTGATGGATTTCAGGTTCTCAAGTAGGTTCTCACTTTGCATAGCTGTTTTCCTTCCTTGCAGCCACACATGTGATGATGGGGGACGTAGTCCACAAACCTAAGTTCCACTTTTACGTAGGTACACCCCTTCCAAAGCCCCTGAGAATGAGACTATGAACCAACATATTACATCTAAGTGCATAAACTAGGGGCGTGAATCACTGCATATCAAACTTCTGGAGCATGGGCGACCTCCATACATTGGTCACCGTGCAACATCAGAGTTGGTGTTTTACTGCTTCTTCCTCCCCTCATCACGTGATATACTTTTTTGGGATCTGCAAACCTGGTGGGCGAAGTATATCCATAAGACGTCTGTCCAAACAGTCTAACCAACTAAAAACTTGGACATATATATGAAAGGAGTAAGCCACTCTACGTGAGCTGGAGAAATCACGGTTGTTTCCATCTTTATTGTAGCATAGAATGACCTTGCCAAGGTTTTTATTTATTATTATTATTTTTAATTTACCGCATTTTATTGCTCTTATATTTGGAAAATTGATGTCCATGTTGGTACTTTTGTGGCACTTGTTGGTGTGATCATTGTAATGCATGTTTCCCAAATTTGCGTTCTTGAAAATTTCACAGTTGCTTCACTTTGCCCTATAAATCTTCATTTCTCTGTTCTTGACACAATTTGCCTCATTCATTTAGTACTTCAAAATTTAGTGCATTCTCAACAGCCATCTTACAGCTGAACATTTGCATATGGCAGATTGAGCCTCAACTACATAGTGGGAAGAACATAATGATTGCTGCTCATGGAAACTCACTGCGGTCTATTATTATGTATCTTGACAAGTTGACTTCACAAGAGGTGCTTTAGCTTTACTCTATTGCAGCATTCTTAATGTTAAAATTGGCTGTGTTGTGCTTGCGTTGACACGCTCTTGTTATGTTATTCTGGCCACAGGTCATAAGTCTTGAGCTATCAACTGGCATCCCCATGCTTTATATATTTAAGGAAGGCAAGTTCATAAGGAGAGGGAGTCCAGTTGGACCAACTGAGGCTGGAGTTTATGCTTACACGAGGGTATGCTACCACTTTCTCTTATACTTGTGCTAAAGTTCTGTTAATATCACTATTCTAATTATTATTGTTGTTGTTATTGTTGCTGTTGTTTAATAATAATAATAGTAGTAGTAGTAGTAGTAATATCAACAACAATAACAACAATAATAATAATGACAAAGGGAAATTTATCTAAATACCCATGAACTATTTAACATTCTACCTATATTGTTTGATTTAATTTCAAAATACCCATCTAATCCAGATGATCATGAGTTGGAATATTTGCAAACAACAATAATAATAATCATCATCATCATAATAATGATAATGATAATGATAATGATAATGATAATGATAATGATAATAATAATGATAATAATAATAATAATAATAATAATGATAATAATAATAATAATAATAAGAGTAATGATCCTATGAGACCCTTCCACACCCATGTGTGTAGGACCCTAAAGGATCACCATTAAATTTGGCACATATCTCTAGAAAAGTTATCACATGGGTGTGAGACTTGACTTTTTTAGAGATTTGTGCCAAATTTAAATGGTGATCCTTTGGGGTCTTACACACATGGATGTGGGAGGGTCTCATAGGATCATTACTCTAATAATAATAATAATAACAGTTGTAATTGTTGTTGTAGTTGTTATTAATTATTATTTATTTACTACTGCTGCTGCTACTAGTATTGAGATACTTAAGGAAAATTGACACTGAACTTTCTTATCTTTGATTTTCATTGGATGTTAAATGGAGAATATTGCAGTGAAAACAAGGGAAAGAATGACCTGAGAGGGAATCGTGAAATGAGTTGACAAAAAGAAAATCCAGTTTGAGCCATATCTGCAAGTTATATTCACATCCCAAGTTTTTTCTTTGATTTCTTTATAAGTCTAATGAATTTGGTTAGTGTCTTTAGTTCCTTGTAGTTTTATGTCCTAGTTCCATGCATTCTGTGTACTATAAGATCTGACACCAATAAGAACATTAGATCATGCATTTCAATCGGAGCGATGGAAACTTGTGAATCTAATAGCACATTGTGTGTATGCGCATGAGTGTGAAGGACTTGTTCCTTGCAACGTTACTAGACCTCTATTCCATTTCATTAGAGTGAGGGCTTTTCACTTGTTTTAAACTTCTAATTTGACCTCATTCTATTTCCTCTGAGAATGGGGCTTTCACATATATGCACTGTCCTCATACTGGCATATAGTAACTTCTATTGTACTTTGATCTGATGGGGCTGCAGTCTCTCATTTTTAGATTCAGTGGCTTGTTAACTTCTGAGCTTTTAGATGTAGATCTTGGGTCTTCCATATTCAAAACATGTGGTATTTTTCTGACAATCATTCAACCAGTGTGCTCTTATAGTATAAAAAAAAAAAGAAAAAGATGAAAAAAAGAGGTTGGCCTGGAGATTCAGTTTCTGGGTTAAAAAACTATACAGTTATGCAGAGTGCATCTTGGCAAAGATTGAAGACACTTACAAATTTTATAGGGCCCTTTATGTTGTAGAAGTACCTGAATTAGTCTGATGCTTGCCATATTGCCCGTTGTAATTTTTTTTTTCATTGTTCCCTCTATCCCTGAAATGAGATATGTTATACCTTGGCATGCCTGCGACCAGAAAATGATTACAACTTTCAAAGTTTTCTATTTGAAAAGATACTGCAAAGTGCAAACCCAGTTTTTAAAATGTGGAGTATATTGTAGCTACCCGTCTTAGATCTAGATTTTGCAAAGGGAATGTCACTGTGCCATAAGTTGGGGCCTTCCACTATCCCATACCAATAACTGAACCGGTGAATTTTTTCGTTTTTTTGAAAGTGTTAACCTTTAATAAAAGAGTGAATAGTACAAGAGACCTTGGCAATCCACAGTAAAGGACGCTCAAGGGATGATAAAGCCAAAAATGGAATCAAAATCCTCTTTTAAGATGTTACATTGAAACACAACAACCTAAGAAACAGGTCGATTCACCAAACTAGGTCCATAAAATAGAAAGCAAAACTGAAAAAGCCCAAAAAACTTCTAATCGTTTGCCATTGCTGCTGCCTCTTTGGCAAGGGAGTCAGCTGCTTGGTTTCCTTCCCTGTATGCATCCACACGACGGACATATTCCTGTAAAGGTATTCAATTTCGTCAAACGTGGTTTAGATGCCAAGGGGAATGGGAGGAGGGAAGACTCTGTGCCCAAGAAATTGTGTTCATAGAATCTTCCTCGACGAGGCGGGAGTGCAGGTGGAAGGGTTGGATGAGTTTGAGGCCTTCCAAGAGTGCCATCACTTCGGCCTCCATAGAATTAGCGTGGTCAATGTGTTTGGAGACAGTTGCCACAGTAGCACCAAAGTGGTCTCTGAGGATGGCTCCGATGCCTGAAGGACCGGGGTTACCGAGAGAACAGCCGTCGAAGTTGATCTTAAGCTTCCCCATAGGTGGAGGGTTTCCATATAGATGCTTGCGGCAAGCGCAAGCGATGGAATTGAAGAACACTGCTTTAATCCTAGTTGAAGGCCGAGGAGGGAACACCTTTGAAGAATTGGTGGTTGGTCGCCCAAAAAATGATTGTGGACTTAAGTTTGTTGAAGACTTTGGGCCAATTTGAGAATTCCCCTCGGAAAATTCTGCTGTTCCATTCGATCCAAAGTTCCCACAAAGCAGCAGGCACCATTGTTTTCTAAAGAAGGATCCCTTCTTTATGCCAAGGGAATCGGAAGATATGATGGAGGTCACCTCTGCTGGTAGCACCCATTGCGCATTGAACAGTTCAAGGATAGCTCCCCAGAGATTGAAGTGATAGGGGCAATGCAGTAGGAGGTGGTTGTTTGTCTCTTCTTCCGAGAGGCACATGACACAACTATTTGGAATTGGGATCCCTCGTCTTTGTACATGAAAATCTTGATTTTTGGTGGGGCAAAAGATTTCCAAGCTTGGGCAGCTGTAGCAGCAGGGGCGAGAGGGAAGGTTGGTGGAAAAGAAAAGCTTCGAAAGAAAGAGGAAACCGCGAAGTCCCCTGATGGTGAAGGACACCAACTGATGCGATCAGGCCCCAATGGGCTAAGAAAGAGGCCTAAAGTTTTGACGCTAGAATGGCAAAACGCTCAGTTCTAGATCATTGAGAGCCCTCCTGAAATCTGGGTTCCATGACTGCTGGTAGCATTTCATCAGCCACAGTTGCTCACTGACCTCTGGCCAAAGAGAAGAGATCGGTAAATCTGTCCTTCAAAGGGGTGTACCGTATCCACAGGTCTGACCAGAAGAGAATTCTATTTCCCGATCTCGGATGGAATCTAATATGGGACATGAAGGCTGGAAAGGTAGAGCAAATTGATCTCTGCATGCTCGAGGACCTCTGGTTAGCCGTGCAGTTTGGTAACCAAGGAGAGTTCAGCAAGTGATATTTGTATTTTAGGACGTCAATCCATAATTGGTTGCTTAGGGTTGAGAGACGCCAACACCATTTTCCTAAGAGTGTCTTGTTTTGGATTTTGAGGTTCTTGATTCCAAGGCCACCCCTATTTTTGGTCTGGCAGATTTTATCCCAGGCTATCAGATAGATTTTTTTATTGAAACCATCTCCAGACAAGAAGAACCTGTGAATTTTCATGTCGCCCAACTACAATTGATCTCCATTGTCTATAAAAAGGAACAAACACTGGATGCCCATCGGAGTATTGTCTACTCCACGTGGTTGTACATAGCCTTTCATAAAACACTTCATGCTTAGTGCATTCTTTTTGTACTTCCTTTCTTAGAATTGGGATTTTGTTGGCTCCCATTAACACTATCTACCTGGTCAATAAGATTTAGGGAAATTTATGCATGGACCTAAAATAAGATCCTGTATTATAAGTTGTTATATATTTTGTATTTTATGGTAAGGTCCTAAGAGGTCCTAAACTTTCACGTTTTTATTGAAGGCCCATCTTACCCCTGATTTGAAGGTTCAACTTTCAGACCGCCCAAAACACAAAGTCCACACCTTTCATACTGCCGAAAACACTAAAAAGACCAATTGTTTGGGCAGTTTGAAAGTTGGACTTTCGAACCGCCCCACTACAATGTCCTTTTTTATTTTTTATTTATTTTTTTCTTTTTTTGAGTTGCTTGAAAGTTGGACCTTTGCAGTGGCCAAATATATTAATTTTTGCTTCTGTTTTTTTCTTTTTGTATGTATTTCGGGTTGTTCGAAAGTCGGACTTATAAAAGATCCAAATATTTAGTTTCCTATGTCTTGGGCAGCTCAAAAGTTGGACTTTTGAACGGGGGTTAAAATGGGAATGAAAGTTTAAGACCTCACTGTAAAATGATCCAAAATATTAACCATCTTACATTACCACATTATTTTGGGTCCTTACATAAATTTCTCTAAGATTTATTGGTCACAAGTTTTTCTTCCCGTGTTCTGAAATCTATTGTGTGCAGGCAATCCTTTCTGAAATGATCAACTAACCCATTCGATAGTTGAACCTTTTACGGAAAGTAGATTCTTGAATCCTTTTAGCCTTGCATATCTTTTGTGCTGGCTTTGATCCTTTTCAGTTGCTATTATTACACAAGCAAATTCATTTGTGCCAACACTGCAACACATCTTTCTTTAAACAGCCTAGGTGAAACTTTTTTCATTGCTAGTGCCATATTTGAAGAAGGAAACATCAATACATATTCATGTTATGGGTTTAGTTTTGAAACCTGTGCAAGGTTATAGATGTATTATGTCTTTGCTTAAACATGCTGCCTCTACTCTTCTAGGATAATTTCATTATTTTTATAATTAATTTGTAGAATATTGTGATGGATGTAAGCAATTATGTTTTCGGGTTTAGTCCCATCAGAAATTCCATGCCGATTCATTTTATACATGGAGCTGACCCAGAACTGAGTCAGAAACTATAGTTGCATTAATCTTTTGGGATCAGGGTTCTGAACCATGGAGCTGACCTAGATCTGAGTCAGAAACCAGGGTTTGTTGATCATTTGGACTTTGGTGCTGTCCTGAAAGATCCCATTCTAACTGTTATTTTCTGCATAAAACATGAAGCTCACAGAAGTCCGAGTCAGCTTCAAGAGCCATATTGACTTCCTATGCTTGTTAGAAGTCAAAGTTATCAGTATCATTTTTTGACATTGTAACTACATAGGGAAACTCTCTCTCTCTCTCTCCGCACACAAACACACACAGTAGCTGATGTTTGCTTGTTGAATATTTTATATTGCAGAATTTGGCTCTCTACAGGCAGAAGTTAGATACTATGGCACACTAATATTAAACAGGTAAGAGAATTTCTCTGCTTCCTGAAATATAAAATGAGATAATAATATTTTTTGGCTAATCATGACTCGGAAGAAATCTACTTGGGTTTTGCAGTTATTTTCATCAACATTATTTATTTGCTATATGGGGTCTACCATGCCATGCAAACATTCTGGAACCCTGGCGGGAATGTGTCCATCCTTCTTTCTCCCCAGTTTTAGTGGGCTTGTCTTTGCCTTTATATGGAAGTGTTCATGATATGTAAAATGGCGGTTTTTATTCAAGGGACAGAACCGACCTGTTTTTTGTCTCAGCTTTTGTACTGTACACAAAATTATTTATTATATTGGATATAATAGAATCGTTTTCATTATCTATTATTTGGACTATATTTTAGCATTGATAATTTAATCAAGAAATACTTCTTTCAATGAGATCATTTCTTTTGTTAGAAATGGAATTAACAGGTGCTTTCTTTGTATATGCTTCTTTTGTATTTGCTAATCTGCCACTAAAATTAAAGCGATACCGAGTGAAGACCTCTTGTTTTTATATTTCAATTGGTTCAGAAGATCCATATTAAATGACACTGATAGAAACACATAAACCATCTATCTGAATTACCACTTCATATTTGATCCCATCAAAACAGGGTGGGCTTTGCCTATTGATTATTCGGAAGTTATCCACATTTCAAGAATATAGTATTTTCAAAGTGGAAGTGTTGCATCGACAAAGTTATGTAGTACATTGTGTCATTAACCATCAATTCCTTATGATGCATGGTTGATCCATGGGACTAAATTGGCATCGTAGACTCAGATTTAGTACAGCGGGCTTAGTTTCCTGGCCTAGCAAGAGAAAAAAACTTAGGATAGCCAATATTTACTAAACACTCATAGATTACGAGGATTAGATGAATGGGTGCATTTAAATTAAAATTTATAAGCATGGGAGAATTATTAGTCTTTCATGAATTCTTATGACCCCGTCCCTTGAAATGAATCACCAAAAACTCGGTATCTACTGGCAAAGTAATGTAATATTATATATCTTCAAAGCTAGGACCCACAGCTTTTTATAAATATTTTACATCGTATGGGCTGCTATCACTGGATTATGCTGATGTCTGAGCCCATGTTTACTGACATCGCCTAGTATATGGGTCAAATGAGAGAGAGAGAGAGAGAGAGAGAGAGAGAGAGAGTAGTGTGTGACAATGAGTCGGCCCGACCGACGACGGACTACGACGGCAGTCGTCCCTTACTTAGTTAGTAAGTGGTTATTTTCGTTCGT